ATGGCCGTGGAGCTGGGGTTTCAGGGCGCCATAATGCACACAGAGGGCCGCCAGGCGCTGGCCGCCGCAGAAGTTATGAAAAATTAATAATAATGTCGAATCGATTGATTTCAGAGTGGGCCGTGGCCGGCACCACCAGAACCACCAACCAGGGCAAGAGGCTAGCACCACCTAGACGGCTGGTCGTCGTCACCACCATCGTCGTCGTCATCGTTGGTCGGGCTTTGAGGACTGAGGATTGAGGACTGAGGACTGAGGATTTGAGGACTGAGGATTTGAGGATTGTCTTGGCCAAGTCCCAAGATCCAGGCGACCCCGGGGCGTCTGCTCGGGTATCTCTTTTCGCTCTCTTTGGGTGTGTGTGGAACTGTAACTAAATAAAAGGAATGAGATGGCAGAAGGTCGAATAGAGTTATCCATACCCTGTAATTTCGATTTATTGATTTGGTTAAATATTTTTATTAGAAATAAATAAATGAATAATAAATTTATTATTTTAACTCACAGAAATAACTTACAACAAACTTTTAAAGGAACTACATTTTTATGTGCTTACCTATTGATATTTAATAATTGTAAAAAAGGAGCCCTGTAAAAAGAATATGATAAATAATCAAAAACAAATTAAATATAAAAATAAGACAAGCTATAGCCGTAGAATAAAAAACTAAAAATTAACAAAAACTTAAAAGCTTTTTGGGCTTTAAATTTTTAAAATATTTTATTAATCTTTATGTTCGAAATATAAATATGCAAAATAAACAAGATATTTATTTAAAAATACCTTTAAATGTAAACCAACTTTGTTTCAAGAAGCCTATAATCACCCCCAGAAAGCTAAAACATACCCTAACCTATCCGCATTGCCATAAAAAGTGAAATATTTTCTGTAAGCTCACTTAGCGCCTCGAGCGAAAGTCGTACATTTTCATCACCCGGCCGGGAACAGGATCAGTCTCCTAGGCAAAGCCACAAAAAGGCAGTCGGAGCCGCAGTTCATAAGCCAAGTTATAACCAAGTTCTGGCCAAGTTGTCGTCGCCGTCGTCTGGCTGAAAACGTTTTATGGTCTGCGGCCGGTCAAGTGATGCATTTTTCATGACCAGTTTGTACGATTTCCTTTCCGCAAACGCATCGAGCATTTTCATGTAATTCAATTCTGGATTTTTCCCGCTTCGCGCTCCTTTTTATTTTCTTGTGGGCGCATTGGTCCGATGTGTTTACAATTCTATTGGCGCTGGGCTGGGATATTGGTTTCAAATCGGCTGTGGGGGATATCGAGGACCCAAGACACCGCTGCGTTAACATGAGTTGAGCCTAATGAAATACGACATTTGACTCGTGCTGGAGTCTCGCTTACGTTTTATAGGCGTGGGATTGCTCTGGGCCAAAATAATAAGGAAAAACAAGGGAAGGCTATAATGGAATTCAAGCAAAGTGGAGCAACCGTCGTACACAATGAGAAATTATTTTATAAAATGTCTCATGCATTTTTCAGTCTTAAGTGTGTTTTTAACTTATTCAAATGCAGGCCATATAAACATATTTATTTTTTTAAAACAATTCAGAATCGTGCGTAAATACAAGAAATGTTGTATTTCATTAATAGCTTCCTCTAAGCCAAAGGATATCATTTTTAAGCCCCAAATAAAAAAAGTAATAATCTGTTTATGTGAATACGTTATTTTTAAAAACTTGGAGTTAAACAAAACGATACAAAAACGATTATCAGCATGTTTGCGCAAATACAAACATTGCCTTTTATATAACTTAAATAAAATCAAAGCTGATTTAATTTTTCAGGAGTGTTCCAAAAAAGGGTTTATTTTGATTTACTTCCGCCATGTCCAGCAATTATATGTTCAGATCTAGTGCTGATCGGTTTAATCAAAGACCTTTAGTTCAGCGCGTGCCTGACTGACTGACTGCATGACTTCCGCCAAGACGAGTGTCTGACCCAAAACATTTCCATGCGGGATAGAACATTCTGTTCCCTTTTTCCCTAGTTAATATTCAAGCCGTCTTCCGATAGTCCCGACGTGTTTGAGTCACCCGAAAGTGCAACTGAATGACTCGTTCCTGAGCCACGCGACCGTTGAAAGTTCAAAGAGCAAACCGATGTTTTTAACTATGAGTTGATATATGCTTAAACCAATGGTCCAATGAGTCATGACTGCTTGTTATTAGGGCTCTTAATAAATCTTTTCTTTTTTATAGGGATATGCTTTTTTCCCTCCATTAGATTTCCATAACCATTTTACAGAATAATTGAAACTATTTCCCAATTAAAGCTATGATGAACTTTATTGTTATTATATATTTAGTTATATATTTTGGTTTAATAACACATTTGGTATATAAGATATATATACCAAATAATTTACTTTGTCAACATTCAAAAATATTTAAAATATTAATTTATTTGTTTTTTTAAATACCACGTTATATTGTTGTATTTACTTCAAGCTTCTAAAATCACGACGTTTGATTCACTTTTACATTTAAAATAACAATGCAATTAAATATTACCAAAATTTTTTAATTAACATATTTTAAGATTTTATGGCAATGTGTTTTATCATAGAAACTAATTGTGCTTATTAAATTTATGTAATTCCAGAATTGATAAATAAGTTTATTTTTTCGTTTTAATAAAGTGTGTTGTTTATATGATTTTCCCACAGAAAAATAATTTCCATTAAAAGTAATGAACAAAGTTAATCAATAAAATATACAAAAATGCCAATATAATGTTCCCAATTCGACAGCGTTGGCAATTAATATATTAATTTGTATTCAATTGTTTGCCTGTTGCTGTCCTACACCTCTTCAAATTGATTGGACTGAAACTTTTTGGCTAATCGAATATTCATTGCATATAACGCACGACTTGTTTACTTTACTTTGGTTCGTTAAATGGTAATTTCCCTCCATGTTCCATAGCTGAAATTCTAAGCCACCAAGTAAGAAAAGCAAAAAAGAAAGACACGAGTCCTGTCCTCAAGTCATTGACAGCAATTTGATGTTCAGTATGTCTCCAACTGACTGCGAAAGTCGTGATTTGTACGACTATTTAGGCCACACCAAAACGTTTTAATAAAATAAAACATAAATTAAGAAATGAAATAGCTTCAAAATCATTTGTATTTAAATAATTCAGTAGATTGAAAGTAAATAAAACACAAATTTCTTATCTTGATTTACTTAAAGGGCGCATAAAGTTTTCTTTTCTGTTTTCTAGAATGAAAGTAAACAAAACACAAATTTCATATCTTGATTTACTAAAGGGCGCATAAAGTTTTCTTTTATAATTAATTAATTAATAATTACTTAAAACCTTTTACTCATTTTAATTTGTTATCAAACATCGATTTGTTTCAAATATTACTATATAAACTATACATATATAAATTAAAGACTTGCACCGCTATGACAAAAAAATTTGATTTCTTTAAGAATTAGTTGTGAAAGAACAAAATTTTTAAGATAGTTTGAATGATTAGTGAAAACAAGTAAGAAACTACCCTTTTATCAAACAAGCCTTTAATATGCCTTTCTATAATCGTGTTTAAAATGTTCCACATTTTCCACAATTATAATCAATCTCTTTTCCCACATTCAAGCCCCGGCCTAAAGTCATTTAGCTAATCGAATGCAATTAAAGCTGGAAAAGTCTACGACTAAGTTCCACCGATACTCTCTAACACACGCACACGACAATTAAGAAATAAAGAAAAATCGGACAAAATCAGATTGCGATTGGCTCGCACAGTTTAGGCCGCCTTTTGTATTGACCACAAACTACGAAAGCCAAAACAAAGCAAAGCGAAAGAGGGAAAAAAAATTGTAAATAGTTTTTAAACAAGCATTGCCAAAGGCAACCAATCAACGACCAGCTCAGCATGCACACACACTCATAAAGCCAAGTATGTGTTAGCCAAATAAATGAGCAGAGTTGCCAGCATATCTTAAAGGTGGTCAAAGTATTGCCCAAGCTGACTAAGCTCCAACTTAACTAGAAATAATGTAAAATATTCACAGATTATATCTGTATTTCCCCCATGCAAGTCAAGTTTGGATTGTTTTATTATAGTATTTATCGGCCTTAATTGATTTATGGCTAATTTGAATAGATTTACAGCTGAGTGGGCAACCAAAACCGGCAAGACAGCGCAAATGTGTGTGAGCGTTTAGCCGTTGTTGGTGTGCAAGAAGGCGTCAACAAAATGATCGCTTCGCTGCTTGTATTGGTCAGTTGGCCAAAATCGGTGAGAGTGTGTGTTGACTTGTTTGTGGGTAGCGGAGCATGATCGAACTAGGTACACTTAGCGAAAATATTGCCTTGTTCCTAAACATATAAATAATTAAAACCTTAATGATGTAGCTCAAAAATATTATACAAACTTGCTTAATTTGTTTATAAATAAAAAGACTTTATATCATATTATATGCTTTATTGCCTTGCCATTTCATGCGTTTACATTTAATATGACAGAAAGGTTTAGGTTTTACCTATTTAAACTGTTTACATATATCTCGGACTGAAACTAAAATTTGTTTTTACACCAGTTTTAGTTTATATGATACGGTAAACTAAAATATATTAATTTAAATTCCTAATTTTCGCGATCACGACAACTACGAAATCTATTTTCAAAAATTTTATTTTGTAACCACAATGTCAAATTCAAGTTTTTACTAAAATGTACATTGCACCTATTTTTTTTATTCAGCACAAAGAATATATATTCCATAATAAATTCTGAATAAGCTCCAAAAATTCGTACTTATCCGCCTAATTTTTCTGCCAGTGTGTGATCACCAACCTCATTGGGTGAGCACACCGCTCAGCACCAATACACGAACAGCTAGAAACAGGGACATGCAGAGCCCGGCTTTGGATGTTGGCCAGATCGGCAGGCAGACTGAAACTGAACGAAAGCCACCTTACCTGTTTCGAAATCAAGTTTGCCGCTTCTGTGTCGCTCCGGTGATCCGCACAGAAAGGTGCACGCGCGCATTCAACACGGTTGTGTGGCCCCCGATCCGAGGTTCTTGTGTGATTTGTGGATTTATACGATCGGAAACGGAACGGATTTTCTCGAGCCCCAGAGCCCAGGTGCTGGGCCCCAAAGCCGTCGGTATTTTATTAAATTGTGATCGCATCTCGGCTTCGCTTTCGTCCGGTCTTTAGTTATTATTTAACGCGATATGTTGTGCGTCATTTGGCCCATTTGATTTGCAAATTCAAACTGAGTTTTTCTCGAAAAGAAACCCCATAAATCTTGATTTAATCAAAGTGCTGAATATGCAATGATTCTATGAATACCTATACCTATGTAAAGGCCAATGCAAAGAATACGTAATAATCAAAGCAAATAGTGTGCAATAGAAACCCCGCATTGGATCTAATAATATAAGTAAATAGTTCTTATACATACCTAAATAAATAAAGTTAATAAAAGTTATTGATCAAGTGTCAAACATTGTGGCTGATCGTAGTAAATTATGAAATAATCATTTATGCCAAAAGCTATTGGAGCAAGCTCTATAACCAAATGGATATCGCAAATTAAATCTTTCGAGCAGAGAGGTAAGTTGAGATCAAGGTCCACAATCCCCCACCCGCACCCAAATCATAATTTACCAATTTCATTATTAACTTTGATAGAAATCAAACAACAAAATACTTTAAAAGCGAGCAAAAGCAAAGCCGTAACCCCAAATCAAAATACACAAGCAAAGTCGCGCACAAAGAGATATATCTGTGGAGTTCTTCATTTCATTCAATGACTTTTGGTGGTCCCTATTCAAACAACTCCAAACAAATTCAAGCATCGACTCGATGACACTCCAAACGTCAACTCGAACAAATTTTTTATCTCCGTCGTCTTTGCTTGTTTCCCTCCTCGGTGATAAGTTCACTTGACAATGAGTTGCAGCAAAGACCCAAAAAGTCGGCCCAAGTCGCCAGCCCCGCAGACGGTAGTGAGTACTCGAGATGGAAATTTGAAATTCACTTAACAAAACTAATTTCAATTGTTGCACTTTTCGGCCGGGGGAAAAGTAGAACCCAGAAGAGATTTTTTGAGATTTTTCTTGGCGCCATCCCAAGTGCCCTGGAAATGTGCCGTATTTGTCTTGAGGTTTAAGGAAAGTGATAGTGGGATAGTTTGGCTTTCAAAGAGAGCAGAGTTGGCCGGAAAACTTGAAAAAATATAGGCGAGTTTGGCCTAATATATAGGTCACTGTATAACAAATTAAAAACAAAAATATGTTTGAAAATATTTTTTGAAAATGTATTTTAAAGAGATTTAAGTATTCATTCCTTATTAAAAACAGTCAGCTTAATTCTCGAGCTATATCGAATTAACAACTTTTTAAATAAAACTTATCAACGTCAAACTTTAAGATCCAAAACATTTTAAATAATTTTCAGTTACGACGTCCCAACGAAGTGGCCATTGATTTAATTGACAATTTAATAATTGTTAAAATATCAGATTGACTTGAACATTTTTAAATATGACATGGTTGATTAAAATATGACAAGAATTTATACCACCTAAATTGGAAATAAGCATGGCGCTTGCTTTTTATACCCTTGCAGAGGGTATTATAATTTTGGTCAAAAGTGTGCAACGCAGTGAAGGAGGCATCTCCGACCCTATAAAGTATATATATTCTTGATCAGGATCACCTCCTGAGTTGATATAGCCATGTCCGTCTGTCCGTCTGTCCGTCTGTCCGTCTGTCCGTCTGTCCGTCTGTCCGTCTGTCCGTCTGTCTGTTTCTACGCAAACTAGTCTCTCAGTTTTAAAGCTATCGAGTTGAAACTTTGCACACACCCTTCTTTCCTTTGCACGCAGTATATAAGTCGGAACGGCCGGGATCGGCCGACTATATCCTATAGCTGCCATATAACTGAACGATCGGAAATGCCATAACTCTGCTGTTTGTAAAGTTAGGAAGCTGGGATTTTCTATGTGTTTTATATTTGGCTAATCAATCCGACCTACCAAATTTCATAAGGATCGGCCGACTATATCCTATAGCTGCCATATAACTGATTGATCGGAAATGCAATAACTTTGGTGTTTGTAAAGTTAGGAAGTTTGGATTTTCTATGGGTTTTATATTTGGCCAATCAATCCGACCTACCAAATTTCATAAGGATCGGCCGACTATATCTTATAGCTGCCATATAACTGATTGATCGAAATGCCATAACTTTGGTGTTTGTAAAGTTAGGAAGTTGGGATTTTCTATGGGTTTTATTTTTGCCCAATCAATTCGACATATTAAATTTCATAAGGATCGGCCGACTATATCCTATAGCTGCCATATAACTGATTGATCGGAAATGAAATAACTTTGGTGTTTTTAAAGTTAGGAAGGTGGGATTTTTTATGAGTATTAAAAATGCATCATATGAATAATTTTGGAGAATATAATTTGCAGAATATTCTGCAAGGGTATTTCAACTTCGGCTCCGCCCGAAGTTAGCTTTCCTTTCTTGTTAATTTTTATGACTGTACAAAATGAAACTTTGAAACACTAAAGGTAATTAAAATGATGGTGTCGTTGAAATATAATTCGCATCATGAGCTATTTCCTTAAATTTAAATATTATTTAAAAATTAATTTGCAATTTAATTAATGTAGCTAATACATTTGAAAATCTTAGTTAGACTTAAAGTAAATCATTTCAATAAAGCTTAATAAGAAGAACTTGTAGTAAAGATTTGTGAGTAAGGTTTAAAGTTTTCACAAGTTATTTTAAAATGTAGTTTTGAAAATTTATTTAAACAAAGTCAAATTTTATCTTGAATGTAACATATATTATTTAACGTTACATGAATTTAACATTATTACTTTGAATAACATAACAATAATTTAATTTTAGTTTGTTGAACAATTTTTTAATTAAAATATACCATTATAATGAGTAATCAAATCCGTAATTTTATTGAATGCATTTGATGTAGATTGACACAAATTTGTTTACCCAAATTTCCCTTTTCATGAAAGACATTTATAAGATTCATAAACTTCTCGGAAAGCGAAATCGTAAATTGATTGATCATTATTTAAGACTTAACGAGTTTCAAATATGATCAACACAGATCTTAACCCAACGAGTGTTTAGTATTTGTGTTGTAAGACATTTCATTAACCCCTAGTTACTTACCCACCATCAGAGACCGAAAAGCCAAGCAAATGCTATAAATCATTTTCAACTCCTTATGCAATCGAAGTGCCCAAATAAAAAATACATCAAAAGCGCCAACTCATCGGAGGGCATTGGGGATACTCTGAACAGAGCGTAGCAATTGTTCAAATAGGCAATAACAATACAAATCAGTTCCTCCAAAATATGGCTTTTTGTGCCGCAGACAATTCAAACAATATCATGAACTATTTCTAGCGTATGAAAAAAACAAACCTAATCAACAATTGTTGTTTCATTTCATTAGCAAATCGAAAAGGTAGAGTCTGCAGACTTTCATTAAGATCTACATATTGATTGATATTATCATTATTCCCCATTGTGATTGGCCAAAGCTATTGGCCAAATAACCGTGACAATCCGAAACTCAGATACAAAAAACCTCATTGTCATTCCTTGAATTTAGAATTGGGATTAAATATTTGCGAACGTGCTAACGGCGAAATGTATGCGGATAATAAACGTGGCCTAGACAAGGTGACGGCAGCGACCCCGCCCACCCACGCCCTTCAGCAGCAGCAACATCCCCACCAGCAGCAGCAGCAGCAACATCTGCAACATGTCCTGCAACTGCAACAGCAACAGCAGCAGCAGCAGCAACACCTACAGCAGCAACACCACTTGCAGCAACAGATGCATACGCATCATAACTTCCAGCAACATGAAACGCCTGCAACACTTTCGCAACAGCAACACATGCAACAGCAGCAACAGACGACACAGCAGCAACAGCAACAGCAGCAACATACAACACAGCAGCAACAACAGCAACAGACAGCCGGCATGTTTACAAGGTAAGTTCTTAGCGCCAACATTCTACCTTATCTCCATTTTCACACAAGCCACGCATCACAAACCGAACAAACATGCAAACTTTTAATTTCAATTTGTTTCGCACGCTTCGATATTTGTCAATTCGAATTTGAAATACGAGGCCAAGTTCGCATTTGGCGACAACGAAACTCCTTTCAGCCCATTCGCTCCTCGGTAGAAAATACAAACTCCTTTCCATTTCTTCGTAGTCGTTTTCCTTTAGTTCCTCTTGAATTTTCACTGCTTTTGTTTTTCGAAGGAGTCTTCTTCGATTGATACACAGAGAACAAATGTTTTTTAAGGCGATTTAATCACTTATCCATACAAAAAATGTGTGTTACATTTATTACGTTTTCTTTTTACTTTATAGAAAAACAGACCAAGGTTTACCATAAGATTTCTGTACATTTTTAATAACCCCTTTATTGTTTAAAGTTCAGATGATGAGAATTCAATCTAATTTCAGTTTAACAAATGAAAGAAAGATATTAAATATTTTAATAAAGTAGCCAATAACTGATACGAGGATGAGACTTAATTATAAAAAATACAACAGTAGAAAGTCGTTAAATTTTTATACAAAATGAGTTTGTTAAGAGTTTTGTTCTCCGTGTACTGATGGTGCTGCTCCTGCTGCCGGTTTTAATGGCCTCTTGTATTGGCAACTTGTAGTTCGCAGTTATCTGGCCCTCGTAATCTCTCCGGTCGGTCTGCGTACCCCCAGCGCCAATTCGCGCAGAGCTGAAAAACGCGCAAAATTCACTCCCAGCTGAACCGCAGCGGAGATGCTGTGCCATTTTATTTAGCTCCAATTAATTAGTGCTTCAAATGTTTTGCCATAAGTTAAACCCGCACAGTGCGATTGACATTACCACGTTGGCAATCGGACGTCCACGAAGACGACGACGATGGGGCCCCAAAAAAGGCGTCTCCAGACCAGAAAAACCACGGGAACCTCGGCACATCGACGACAAAGTCGAGGAGATGCCAGTTAAGTTAGCCACATCTCCTGGCTGCCGTTGCTTCTGAAATGTGTAAAACTCACGTGTGATGTTGTTGATGGCTCGTTCTTTGTCTGTTGAGATTTTTCCTGTTTTTTTTTTCTTAGTTTTTGCTGGGGAAATATCCCGTCTTTGTGTGGGAGATACTTCAGTAGGTGTTGCCCTGATCTTGCGCCTTTTTATTTTATTTTTTCGGTGGGTGTCATTTTCTAGTATCTGCTGGATGCGGTATCCTTTTTGAAATTAGAGCATTTTGTAGTAGCAATCCGAATAGACCATTAAACGGTGGAAAACTTTAGACGGTGACAATTAACATAATTATATTCAAGATTTTTAGCAGGATAAGTTAAATTTATTAAGAATAGATTATTAATTGGCAAATCAAATGGAAAACTACAAATATAATTTACTTATATGTAGCCACGTTTTTTTAATTATTTAACACCGAAGCATAAAATATATGAGTTTAACTGGAAAGAAAATATATATACTTAAAAGAGGAAACATTTTTTATTTATTTTATACTTATTCTTATGAGCTCTTTTTCTAAAAAGAAACATTTTTCTATAAATGCAATCTTCATTATCTTCATTACTAGCTTAGTTCAGTTCATTCATCTGAATTTTACGTGGCCCATGAAACTATCAATTAACACGTGGAATTGCTGGAATTCCCAGACATCGAACTATCGAAAAGTAAGCTTCAAACTTTTTTCTCCACTCCAAAAAAAGTTCATTGTTCGCGCGCCAAAGCACGCGCTTATGCACACTCACCAATACAGATTGTAATACTTGTGGTATAGTAAAATCGGACGGATTTCTATAAATATTTTCCATGCTCGAACGAGAAATGCTAACAACACGCCTCGCACTGAAACAAACAACCGTTAAACAACGAAAACTATATCAATATGCTCTAAATAATAAATGACACTAATTAAACTGAAGAAAACCTGGCGTTTGTTGTTTTTAACACATCCAGCCCGTAGAGTCAACAAACCTGGCACCACTCGAGCTACCACAAAAAAATCGAAGAAAAGGTAAAGGAAGCCGAGGAAAAGTCAGATACATGTTCGGAGTCAAAGCCAAAAGATACATTTTAAAGCCGGCGAAGTGCATTTGTCGGATGCTTCCTGAGTGAAACTAACCGAAACCGTTGCGTACGGATTCTGTTTGAGTTTGAGTTTTTATTTGCTTTCGGGCCTGCGCCGTTGGTGTTAATTTTGGTAATTAGCATGCCGCGGACACTCGGCTAAGATACAATTTCGTTCGGGTATCTGTAACACTGCACGGGGCTCCAGCTTTGGCAGCAATTTTATGCTGCTAATTTCATTAACACATCTCACGAGAAAAGCGATCAGCCGAGCGAACGAAGCTATTTACCCAACTCGGCTATCGGTGCAGTAAATGCTGCACTAGATCTCAGCAAGCACAATGCACTGCAAAAGATTTGACGAAATTGAAATAAAGTGGATGGGGTATTTGTATAAACTACACATTCTATATTTAAAAAAAATTACCAAAATGAAAGTCTGCAGTAATTTTATAAAAAGATTTTAAGATAGAATTATTATCTTAAAAAGATTTTCACAACTAATAGTCTTTTTAAGTGGGGAAACAATTTGTAAGTGAACATAATTATTATAGATTTTTAGGCACAGCCACATAAATTATTCGGAAAATTTCCATTTTACATTTTCCAAACTTTGGGTGATTTTCCCGGAATTGGTTTTCTCGCAGTGGCAGACTTCCGCTTCTATCTAATTTTTTAGATCAATATTTGGTGACGCGCGTCGAAATCGATTTCGGAATGCTCCCCTAGATGACCAGACATTATCCGCCGAATTCGAAACCGTTAGACTTCGAAATGCTGAGCAAATAAGTGCGCCACCTTCGCCGCCGGTTAATTTCGAGATCGATGGAGCTGCCCTGGGGCTTAACAAATTATTTAGTTGCGGCATCCCTGTGCTAATTGCCTGACAGTAAAGTGCAACGGCAGCAAACCATCAATCCCGAGAGTCCCAAGCCGATGAGCCATACTATACCGTACCATGCCGTACCACACCATACCATACCATACCGTCCATAGTTGGGGTAATTTCTGGCCAAGCCACCGCCGGGCACAAAAGTATACAGATCCAGAGACCAAGAACCAAGTCATGGGAAAATTTCCGTACACACACAATTTGGGGCTTGGCTTACGGGCGGAGGAAGAAAAAACTCAGTTTCGCACGCAAATTAAGATAATCGAAAGCAAATGCAGCAACGGTAGCCGCTCTCCATGGTTAGGCTCAAAAAAAAAAAAAAAAAAAAAAACAAGAAGAAAATCAGCAGAAAGAAACGGGTTTAGTACCCGGTAGCAACAAATCATAAAAATATGAAAAATTATGCGGCGGCGTCGGAGGATACTCGCAACTTGCAGCTCCCGCAAATGACGATGTCCAAGAGCCAATCATCGAAGTGTGCTTTTGGCAGTCCATCATTAAATTGTGGCTAAGATTCCAATCAAACATACAAGAGCATCGAACGGCAGACGGTAGCAGCTTGATTTCATTTCTTCTGAGGCAATGAAATCTCAGCTGCGGTCTGTGGTTTATTTTCGGTGTGGTTCATCTGAGGCAACCCAGTGGTGCAGAGTGGTGCAGAGTGGTGTGGCATGGTCTGGTGGTGTGGCTCGCATTTTTGAAATATATGCGTCAAAATAAACACAGTAGCTGCCCGCCAGACTTCTTTATGAGCTTTTGAGAGCAGTAAATTATATGGCTGCGATTTACGGACACACAAACTCGTAAGTTAGCTAATTGATTGAGATAATTGAAGGATGGGTTAAGGATATAGATTTCGATGTTTCGCTTGAGGCCGAAAAAGATTAATGGAAAGAAAAGTGAAGACATTTCTGATTAAACAAGTTTTGGCTTTAGATACTTGAGCTAATTAAAGTTAACGTTAATTAAAAGTTTTAAAAGATTACACACTTAGTAAATAAAAAGTCACTCTAAACAAAAAAAAAATATAAAAAAAAACAAATCCATTTTATGGCTAGTTTAACTAAGCAAAGCTTTGAGTTTCTTTATTATTACAGTTTTTAAGATTAAAATTATTGAGTGCTTAATAATTCTGTATATTTAAGTTACTGGTTCAGAAATTAAAGTTAAAGTTATGAAGGAAACACCAAAACTAGACTATAAAATGTATATTAGCTTTTAAAGAGTTTTATCTTTTAGTTCGTAGTCTTTCAGCCATATTTTAAGCATAGCAACTGTCTGCAGACTGCATAAAATTCAACGCTTACCTGGGGCAAGACTTACCTATGGCCTGCCATATATAATTTGGCTAAAGGCCACTGAGCTCCCCATGGTTATTAGATGGCCAACATTCTGTGGCTTTTTTGTATCCAGCTCTTTTTTTCTGTGCTAAACGTCGCCCCGATGCTAATCTGTAGGTGTGCGTTTGGCAAAAGGTATCGATTACTGCCACCGACTTACGCAGAACACAATGAGGCACCCGCGAAGTCCGCCAGACAAAACAAGTGTTTGCGGATAAAAAAAATTCCAAGAAATCCTCGAAACCGAAAAATGGAAAGCATTGTGCGGCGCCTGGGCAATTAATTTGCCTGGAACTGGGATCCAAAAACACGGTGTGGGTTCAGGCCGGGTTTAGGGTTACCCCGAATCGCCGACGACTCCTTGCCCCGAAGAACTTTCAATCAGTTTGAGAGGTCTGGCATTCATTATACGCCGTTTTGCACTATTTTTTCTGCAGCCCAAGATGCAGAAAAGTCGAAAGGGCGGGGCGGAGCGGAGTGGCCAGAAATCATTAGAGCTGCCCGCGAGCTCAATAGCCTGGCCGAACTATATCGTGGGAATATGGCAAATAAACTTGCCCAAATTGCACACATACACAAAGCGCTAGAAAAGGAGAAAGGGGAATTCGGGTGTTTGGGGATCCAGAGGGGAGTTATCTAGTCTGTGACCAGACAATTCGCACAAGTCAGCTCAGGAGAAGAGAAGACAAGACGCTCCAGGAAAAAGTGCAATAAAAATTTGCGCAAATTTCGTGTTTCTCTTGGCCTGCAATTGGTATTGACTGACTGGCTCTGGGATTCGCTGGCCTGCGAGTGGACTGTGCCGGGATCCTCCAACCCGACTGACGCCCTGATGCATATTAAAACTCGGCTTTGGATTGATACGTGCACAGAGAAAAAAAAATTAAATAAAACTTAACAAATTTATATGATGTATTAAAATGTTTTCCGAATTTTTTCTTATTTCTTAAAATGAAATTTAATATCACTGTTTATTGGGCAGGTCGCATTTATCTTGATATGATTTATACTTGGCTTTAACCAAAAGGTTACTTATACAAATATTTAAGCATAATATCAATTTTAATATTTTGTATCAGTTTAACTATCTGTTATCATTAAAAAATGTTCGCTATTATTAAAAAAATGGTAACTGTCTTATAAGAGTTACTTATGTTTTATATTATCATACTATTATGATAACTATAAAGTTATACTCAAAGATAATATTCATAACACGAACTAAATATATTAACTTTCACTTGGAAATCTTTCAAAATGTCTGCGGCTCACTCCATTTAAAGTTGTAATTATATTTTCTACGAATAAATCTGCCTAGATTTAAATTTTAAAAATATGAAAAAAGTATTGACTTCATTTTTTCCGTGTAGCCCTAGCGGGTGGAGTTCAGCTTGGGGTGGGTTGAGGAGTTCAGTGGTCTTGTGATTTATTCGCTGCCCACATTTTTACGATGGCGCTCTGAGGCCCTCAGAGGGCCTCCATAAAAATCAGTCGGAAAACGAAGGATTTGAGCCTGCCCCATAGATGCGCATTGCGCATTTAAAATCCATTTAAGTTAATAGTTTGGCATTACGTTACCCGGGCGGTTTATGTGCTAATTAGTGAGGGATGGCGATTGGCATTGAGATCACTTGGAATCGGAATCGGAAGAATCTGAGCCAACAAGATTTGTGCCTAATTTCTGTGGAGCACGTTAAGTTTCCATCGCAAGTCCAGTTTTTTTTATCTAGTGGAGGGTCGAGGGTTGAGGACCAAGGACCAGAAGACTGGACTTGGGCTTGATTAAGATCTTTTCCACTGCGCCAGAGGATCCCCAGCCGCAGATTAAACATGTGGCTCCAGGTTTCAGCCACCGAGAGCCACTAAGCCACCAACACAGTGGCCACTGGCTGGATGATCCCACAACGCCTCGCTAAGAATCGTGTTTATGCTTTTAATTAGCAACAACAACTTGTACAGTAGTTGCCACAACGGCGAACGGCCAACAAGTTGGTGCTACTTAGTGCAGATTTCAAGGTAGCGATAGATATATTAAGAAATGTTGACATGTCTCGCTCACTCAGATAAATTTTGATGTAGATTACAGCGGCCGTTTGCGGTCCATCGTCCACCCGCTACAGCTTTATATATATCTGATATATCTCTCCCTAGCCATTAACACGTTTTTTGGATTTTTATTTTCCTTCCTTTTTTTTCTTTGGGTATGCATTACGAAAGGCTGATGGCATTATCATATTATCGCCTGCGCCACTGGCATCTTGTTTATGATAAATATTTGAGAAACTTATTAATTATGCCACAAATAGCCAGCCAGATTGCAGATCGCAAAAGCCTTTCACATTTTTAAGTAGCTAATTGGGAGAGGAACGTTCCCAGCTGAATGTGTGGGAGGATCGGAATGGATTAGCTGGGGTGGAATGACCAAAGTTGGACCTCATGAGATACTAATCAAGTGGGATTCGCAACAGCTTGGTGAGAGACTTTCTACAAGTTGTATGTCCAATTTAAGGCTGCTGTCGAACATATTTAATCAAAGCATAAGTAAATTGAGAGTACTTAAAACATAACTTAACTTTTTGGGCTTTTATTTTTAAAATATATAAAATAGAGTATAAATCATTCCTTTTTTCTAGTTCTAGTCTAAATATGGTTTGTTATAAATCAAATTTTATTTGATACTTGATTTCAGTTTGTATTACAATACTGTGACATTTTTATATAATTGAGTGACGAAAAAGTAATAAATCGAAATGCTAATGGAGCAACTGAAAAATGTTTTTTTTTGGCAATTCTTAGAGTTTTTAGATAGTTTGATCTCTAGAAGACCCTTCACCGCAGCCCACACAACCGCCCTGCTGACAACCAAACAAATATGTCGACCTGACCACAAGTGAGCGCCTCGCAATCGCAGCATTTAAATCAATATTCATTTTAATTGTACAAATCACCTTGACTTAAATGCGCCAGTTGGCGAGTGAGTGAGTGTGAGCCACTCGACCACTCAATTTCGATTCTGGGGACCGGGCTAAGAATCTGTTCTATTACGGCCAAGTGGTCAAGAGTGAATAGGCCTTATGCATGAATATATTTCAAAGCCAGAAGGCGAACGAAGCGTTCGATTTGGCTTCAGATTCGGTTTCTTTTTCTCTATTTTTTTGTATTTTTTATTGCATGCCTCCGAAGCGGTTGCATGCAACTCACAGTCACACGGACGCAGTGAGATTGTTTTAAATGTTAACATGGCCATTTAGAGGCAATAACAGCGGCAAAATGGCAGACAGTCGAGCGAGGAAAGCCAAAAAGGCGCGGGCACTTGCTGTTATTACAACAATATTACCAATATTTATCATAAAAAAGGCTTGCAAAATAATCGCCAACAACAACAATGGCCGGCCAAAACGTCAGCATAAATAAAAAAAAGTACTCATACGCCGCATGCGCCGCCGACGTCGACTGCATAAAAAGACAAATTTATGATTTATGATTTCAACCTTGTAAATAATATGCTCACAAAAGTACACACGGACAGTTTTTGCTAAACGCTTGTGCCGCTTGCCCAAAACCAGCAACAACAACAACAATCGCTGTGGAGCGCTGACCAACCTACTTGCACAATTTTTCCGCACAAGGCATGTGGCAAGTGTGCCCCACATCAACCACCGCAAACCGCCGAGCAACCACTGCACCACCACCGCCGAACCACAGCCACATACCGCTGGTCGTATGATTTTTAAATGCGCGATGAGTTATTTATGCACCGGGCATTGCGCCGCGGTATGTGCGAGCCATCCTTAACCCATTGTGGTCAGCGGATCGAAAGGCCAATAAAAAGAAATATTGTGCTATTAGCTGAATAAATACTACTTTGGTTGGTAATAAATAGGTGTGTTTAAGTTTAAATATAATTATGATTTCATGAAAACAAAAAGTAGTGTCCAATCAAAGATTGACATCTAGTAAGTTCACAAGAATAATCTGGCAAACAAAAAATATTATGGTAAAACCATGAACTAAGAGCTTTAAAATAACCGAAATTACTATTAAATGGCATAACATTATTTAAGTTTAACTTAAGTTTATATTAATTTTAATTGCCAAAGTTAAAAACTATTTATAAAAAGATATACATTATACTGAAATTCAATACTTTTGTTCAATTTCAATTAGCTTGGATTTATCGAAAAGGATTATAACATTTAATTGCATGTGAATTTGAAGAGTGAACTGTATCTTTAATAGAGATCAAATATCGAAAACACATATTAATATAACGTGTGCAATAAACCACTTTTTAAGCATTCTTGGGCAATTTAATGTCTTGTGGTTAAAGCACAACTTAAATGTGGATTTGCTTAATGTGGGTGTCAATACAACTTGATTGCAACTGTGTACTGAACTATAAAAAGCGAATAAAGTTGCTAGAGCAATACTCAACTATAAAAAGCGAATAAAGTTGATCGAGCAGTAAATGGAATACCTCAGCCAATTCCCAAACGCCACAACCCATTTCGTAATGGGTTAATAAGCCCAAGAGCAAAACGGAGACACACTCAGAAAAGAAACATACTCGAGTGTTTGGCTGTGAAAACACATGCCTGGCCTGGCGGCTAGTTGTGTTACATTCGGTCTGTCCACTCTGCCATTATTAAGCCGTAGCTGTGAACGAGCCCATATATTCTAATTGTTTAACCATATCCACTTTCCATTGCAGATTCGATGCCAACAAATCGACGAAGGGCGCCTCGAAGATGCGACGCGATCTCATAAATGCGGAGATAGCCAATCTGAGGGATCTTTTACCACTGCCCCAATCGACGAGGCAGCGCCTCTCACAACTGCAGCTGATGGCCCTGGTCTGCGTCTATGTGCGGAAAGCCAACTACTTCCAGCAAGGTAAGTCTCCCCGGGTCCAAAAACCCAAACCCCAATCCCAATGCATATATGCATGCTGATAATTGGCTGCACGCTGATTGAATATGCATGAGTCATGAGCAGATGGAGATTGCGGCTGTGATTGTGACTCTGCGCAGCCGAGAAGATTGAGACCGCCGAGTGCAGGACCCACCGCCGTTCCACTTCAAAAATGTTATTGCCAAAAAGTGCAGAAACTGAAAATAATTTTGTCCAACCCCTCAAAATGTTTTTTAAATATTCCTTAAGATACCTCAAAATATATTTAAAACAATCCTTAGATATCTTTAAATTCATAATCGAGTAACAAATTGGTTAGCACATAAACACATTTTTATATGATTTAAATTTGCAAATGTATTAGAAGCACTAAAAACACAATGTCAGTTTTTTATAGGGCTTAACTGTGTAAGAATTAGTACTTTAATGCCATGTCAAAATAAATAAATGTAAATCTTCGAACAAAAATTCTGTTTATTAAATTAAAGTCTGAACTAAAAACTTTCCAACCAGATAAATAAAGATAAATTTAATCAACACTAGGAAAATAATTTAATTATCTAATATAGGAAATGAAAAGAGAAGAGTAAAGAGAGTTAACAAACAATTAAGACTTTTAATCTGTTCTTTAGAATCACAGTTTGAGAATTTTAAGCATAGGCAAATTTAAAATGTTCCACAGAACTTCCTTGAGAATTTGACATCCGTGTATTAAATATAAAAAGAATAGATATTGCGTTATTTTCAAATTGTAAAAAATAAAGGCACTTTTTTTCTATTCCTTAATATAATATAACTTTAATCTATTGCTTTTAAAACTTTTTTTCGTTGTGTGCACCGCGTACTTTCGTTTAAGCCGGAATGAAAAACCGCTAGGCGCATGGCTTCGCTTCGGTTTAAACCAACATCATTCATATGTCGAGTGTCCCTCTATCATGCCCCCAAAAGCCCAGCTGAAATTGTTTTTGGCCAAGTAATTGCCGCAGCGTCTAGGCACGCACCCAGGCGGGCCAAAATTGCTGGGGGCCCCTCGCATCCTCAGATCCATCGGATCGGTCCCCAGAGGTCCCATCCTCCTTTTATGCGCATGCGCGCAGGTCAACGCGCAACCGAACAAGATCGTTCGCTCTTTACTTACCTATTTGCGCTGCTATTTTTCGTTTTGGTTTTTTTTCCTTTTTTTTGTGGATAATTACGAAAATTGTTTTTCAAATTAGCGTTGTGCGGTACATAGGCATAGATAACACACCAGACTCGGGAACTCTTAACTCTCGGCTCGCATCTCAGTGCGCAGACAGAAACGAAACGAAAACTGGAGGAAACCCATGTGAAACTGTTGCAGATCCGTGGCATACCATACCAGCATCCACAGTATACTATCTCAAGCCACCAACTCCTCCAACTGCAAACTGAAAACTGCAAGTCTCTTGCGAGGCAATTTCACAATTGCAATGGTAACAACGAGCGTCTGCCTGGCAATGCTATAAATATTGCGATAAATCAAAATGTGCGATTTATGTGTTCTACAAATTGCAAAAAATTAAACTTAAGTACTGCTCTTTTCTCCATCCATCTCTCTCCTCCGCATTCCCATTCCCATAAGTGTGAGAAATAGTCGGCGTTTTGTGGGCCCCGTATCTTTCGGTTATTTGGGTGTGCTTTCGTTGTTGTTGCTCATTGTCATTGCACCGTTTAAAAGCATTTATAATCACAAATTGTGTTAATATTGGCACGCCATCGAAATCGCTTTGTATCTTTGTATCTCCAAGTTCAATGGATTCGTTTGCTCCCCGTCTGAGCTTGTAGATATGTGGGTGGGTGTGGCTGCCGAGATAGTCGCGATTAATGAAATACATATTTATAAAACGAAATTGAGTTTTCAATACAATGAGATTCTTTCCGTTTTTAGTTTGTATGCAAGATCTTTAGCCGGCGGCTTGGATCAGATCGAAGAGCGTATAATTGGCTAGCATTTAGTATTGTCGTGTTTGCTAGCGAATCTCACAAAAAAGGCAAAAAGCTGTGAAGTGGTCACAGATTAAAAATAGTTTTGATTGTAGTTCAAGGTGTTTAATTCATGCAGGTTGATTTTTCCATATTATTGATCATTGATAAAATAATACCATAAAATATTCGGATTAAGGACAAACTGTAAATTTTGTAAAATAATAATACATGCAAATTTTAACTAATATAAACTAGCTATTAAATCTAATCAATATAACACAATCAATATTTAATACATGCTTATTATGGCCTACCGAATTAATGTTTAAAAGGATTTATAAACTTGCAGTAATAAAAATAATGAAAAGTATTTATTTTGCTTATTATCTATCTTATTTATGTTATGCTTTAATTTTTTAATCATGAAATTCAATGTTAGTTTTCGTGCAAAGTTTTTTAAATTAACATTTCCTTAAAAAGCCATTAATCAAAAATTCTTAAAATATTTATTTATTTTTTCTAAAAAACCACATTTATAGAGATATATGGTCAGCAAGCGCAATAATAAAATCAGCAACATTCCCTTGCCCTTGTACATTGTAGCCAAGTGGAAAAGCATTGAGCTGGCTGACACTCCCCTTTTATTTTTATTTTGGCTGAATCAGGTACGCTGACGACAGACTTCTTGGCAAAACGGATTTCTGAGTATTTTGCCCGGATAGTGGATAATATTAAGGCCCAGCGAAAATCTGACTGCATTCATGGCCTTTCCGTTCAAGTTCAATGAAATTACCAGTTGCGGTTGCTGCTGTTGCAGTTGCTGTTGCAGTTGCTGCTGCAGTTGATGCTGCTGCCGTGGTGATTGTGGCCTGATGCTGATTTTGTGGCTGTTTCTCTTCGGTTTTTTGTTTTGTTTGCCAGGTGCGGGAGTATCTCGTAGTGTTTTAAAAATAATTGATCTTGATGCTGCCTGCAATGCAGCTGCAAAACAGCAATTGCACTCAGCGATCGCTGCCTGATGTTGCTGTTGCCACTATCGTTGATGTTGCTGCTGCTGCCGCTGTTGTTGCTGTTGGCTCTCAGTGACAATGACACATTTTCTTTTTGTGATTCACTTGTTTTTGCTAGGCGGCAACGATGTTTGCTCATTGTATGTAGAATATAATCAATGAATTAACAATCAAATGCATCTAACAATCGCCGTCACAAAGTGAGAGAGGAACCGAGTCTATTATTAACAGATAGTTTTTTAATTAGCCAGGCTTTTGCATACAAATTACCGCCATGGGAAAATACTCATATCCACTTATTGGATATTTCCCCCCGTACTTAATACGGATGTCTTGATCGGCAGGGCGCGCCTGCGCAAGACACAAAAGGTCAATTAACTTAATTACCACCATTTTCAAGAATCCGTTTTCTGTATTTTCCTCATTGCAGTTTTCAAACGTCACAATGCGATGCATCATCTTCATCATCAGACAGCAACACCAAATATAGGCTTCTCAAAGGTAAGAAATATATATTATGTTATTATCAATTAAAAAAAAAGAAATTTTGTATATTATTTAAAAATGTATTACAACACGTATTTGTTAAATTTCAAGAGCTAAATATTTAAAAGGAAGCTATGATTATTTTCTTTATGTGCAGGGATAAATTTCCCTGGAAATATTCGCCACAATTCATATTCAATCAGAGCATAATTAGGAATCCGATTGCCGGATCTGCGCTCATTTACCATATAACCTCGGCAATTTTCCGTCCCGATGACATTTCGATTAGGCTCCCAGGGAACCGAGAGAAACAACTCAATTTAAGCCATCGCGGTGACAACTCAACCAAAAGTTCCCGGGAAAACAACTCTATTAATGGCACAAAAGCTGGCCATATCATAAGTCAGAAATCGTTTTGCTCGCCGCCACTTGCTGCGCCAAAAGCGAGAAGAGGAAATCGGCCAAAAGCCAGCGGGCCAAACAATAAATGCCCGGGAAAAACCACAGATTTACAGGAGCAGCCACCAGAAAAAAAACAAAAACAAAGAAGGCAGAAGACAGTAGTCAGTCAAGCTGCCTGGCACTGACTGCTCCAGTCGGGCGAGATTGATCTACATACCTGTGCACACTCGTGACTGAATTAAATACTATAACCACAGTACTACTCATACTCCCCCCTTTTTGATTCCCTCCTCGGTAGCTTTTTTGCGAGTTGTCAACGTGGGTTTTAGCCAGGCTTTTGGGCTAACAATTTATTAGTGCTCAGACGCGAAAATGAATTTGCATTTCCAACACAAGATTCAATTTATGCTTTTTCAAATAGAGGGTGTTAAAAAAGAAGTAGCCTGAAGGCATGATAAGGCGTTTAAGTAATTAGCCTCTTGGAATCATATAAAACCATTTATAAAACGTTAATAAACATAAAGTAAATTATTAGTAATACATTCACAAATCGAAAGTGTAAAATATATATATAATTCAATAGCATAACTTTTCAAAATAAGAAACATTAAGAAACATTTATAAAAACAACCCATATGTATTAACTTTATCATCAAAAACAACTTTTCGCTTCCTTTTAAGAAAATGTCTTTAAGATCTCATTTATTTGTTTATATATAAATTAAAAGGACAGATTTTTTAATTTTAATTTAAAGATTAAAAGTATATTCATATCTTTAAGCCTTAAGCATCTATTTTATTACCAATATTGTATAAACAATCACCCTGTATTAACACACGTATTTGTCTTACAGGCACTCTCCGGCTTTTTGATGATGCTCACACAAAATGGCAAATTGCTCTATATATCGGATAATGCGGCCGAGTACTTGGGCCATTCCATGGTAAGATATTTTCGCAGACTTTGCGAAAGTTGCGGATTGTTTGGGCTGGTTTTGTGTTTTGGGGGCCGAAATTGTTACAACCGTTGATACAAATCTCTGACAAGCGACAACAGGCAAACGACGATGCCTGTCGTCGTCAGAGCATGTCATAGTCTCCTAACAGCAGCAGCAACATAAGCACAGCAGCAACATCCGCGGCGCAACAGCAACAGCAACAGCAACATATTTGTTGCAGTTTTTGTGCTGTACTAGTTGCTGATGTTGTTGCTGCTCCCGTTGACAAGTTAGCAACTGTCTAAAGACCTAAAGAGACCCGATTCATTGAGCTTATATAAGTCCGTTGGTTCCTTAAAAACCGCAACTCGATGTTTGCTGTTGCCCCGTGTTTCAAGCTTTGTTTATTGCACGTTTATGCCGCTTAAATAGCAAGGTTATACATGTAGAAAAATATATATGTATGTATATATATTTTAGCTGCAAATGTACTTGGCCTTTCACTTTGCATTTGAACCGACGGTTTAAATAAATCTAGCCGACCCAAGCACATGTGACATATCTCCGTTCCACATATAACAGAACCGACATTGACAAAGGTAACCGAGATAGGTGGCCAGGTGATTGTCGGCTCTTCGAAGTCTTCGAATGTTCAACGGGGCGTATGTGTAATGTCTGGGCACCACGAAAATTATGCCATAAATCAGAGCCTGGCCTGTGATCCCAAGAACGGCTAAGAATGGGATATGTTCGTGGCCGAAAAACTTGATCAGCTTCATATCAAAAGGAAACGCTCCACTTGTTTTTCTTGGCCAGACAACCTTTCATATCAACTAAATGTTGCACTTCCCCCCGCAATAAGTCAAAAAGCTAGACAAGAACAAGCCAACGGCAAGACAGGAGAACCAAAAAAGTTAAGAAAAGTTGAAACCAAAAAAAACCTAGTAAGCCAATTGGCAACCATGACATTTGACAGCCTTTTGGCCTTTGTGCCGAGCCTTATCAGGAGTTCGGAGGAGTTCCGAGGAGTTGAGGGAGTGGAGAGTTGGGAGACACCCACCGGCAGCAACTAAATGGTCAGTGAAGTTCATAAATTCACTCGTATGCCATGTGTTGGCATAATTACGGGCACAATAAAAACCGAATTGGTGTGCACATGGACAGGCCCAAAAGTGGCTCGCCCAACCTTTTAATTTGTGGCAAGGCTCGGAGTTAGTTAGCGGCGGTAAAAACTGAAAAACGGCAGCAGCAACAACTACAAGCCAAGTTAATTAACAAACTGCCAAAAATGTCAATAGATCTTGGCAACTATAAGGTTGCTGCTGCTGCGGTTGCTTTTACCATTGCCGATGTTGCTGCTGTTGTTGGGCATCATAATTCGAATTCGATTTTTGCATATTCCCATAACAAGTTGCCATTGTCATGTGTCATGTAGCGACAGTGGCCATAAATAAATTACAACCACATCGGCTTGCCATTATAAATTGGCCGATCGTTCGGCTAGTTCGGTTTAACTTCGATCGCTCTCTCCTTCGCTCGTCTGTGGCCATAATTGTCAACAATAATAAAAGCTCATGACATAAACGGCCAGCAGGCAATTGGCCACAAACATCGAGGCCCCACAAAACGCAGATGAGCATGCGAGAGCCGTCTGACACATCATTAACAAATTGCAACAATAGTCTGACTAATTGAAATAAAATTTGAGCGGAATAGAGACGCATGTGTATACTCACAGGATCATAGTGATTTCAAAAACTTTAGCTTATTTTAATTTAAAAAAATCATTAAAAAATATTGTTTATTAAAACATTGACTTCTAATTTTATTTTAAAATCTAAGCAATTTTATTTAGTAGATGCATATTTGGAATTTTTTAGAGTACGATTTTAATTTTAGGACGTTTTTTCCATTTATAAAAAGATGTTTAAAAAGACATTAAAAATATTCAAGGCGACATTATTTTTAAAGTAAATAAATCTATTCGATTTCAGAAAATTACGTTAGTCACACAATTGGGTTATTTAAAGGTTTTTTTATACAAAAATTAGCATAGGAACAATAACCATTTTTTGTTGTATAGTTCCTATTGAGTTACTCAACAATTCTAATTTCTTGAGTCATGGACAAATTCCGATGGCAGTTATAATGCAACGCCCAACTATTTGCTGACCAGTGTAAACCGATGTTAACCATGTCCCCTCTGTCGTTCTCGTTACAGGAGGATCTGCTGATACACGGTGACTCCGTTTACGATATCATTGACAAACAGGATCACGCAACCATCCAGGCCGAGCTGAATAGGAACGTGCCACCGCAGCCGGGTGGCTCGAGTCAGGCGAACAGTGGTGGTGCCGCTGGTGGCGGCGACTCAACGTCCAGCAATGGAAGTGGTGCCGGTGGTGCTGGTGGTGCCGGTGGCGCCTCCAGTCTCGAGGGCGAGCATCGCATGTTCCTCTGTCGCATGAATGTTAGCCGCAATGCGCGACGGCAAATGCGTTTCGGCGATCAAAAGGTGAGTGTCAATACACTGGAAAGAAAAATATGTTTGAAAGTATTTGTCTTGTAATTTACATTTTTTGAAATATATTTTTTTATGGTGGAGTAGCATTTTCTATTATTTTTCGAAGCAAAACTATATATCGTATTAACTGCTAAATGCAGTTAAAGAAATGGCGTATTCTGATTATATGTACAATATTAATTTTTGTATATTTCTTTACAAGACTTAGCCGCAACTTTTTTTTAAAAACCTCTTCCACTTACTAATTATCTATTTGGTTTTATTTCTGCTTAAAACTGCTTTCAACGTCTACAAAGTTATATTTTCCCCAATAAATTTTAAAGGGATTTAGGAGCAGTCCCATTCCTGAATAATATTTTAAAATAAAATCTTAAGATCCCGGATTTTTTCTTCGTGCATGATTGCGTGGATGAGTAAGCGCGTGTAAGTCTCTGACAGAAATTGATGAATGAATCACCTGGGAAGCGTGTTGCGTGTAACACTTTACCACACTGCAGGCTCCTCCGCTCCACCGCTCAACATCGACATCTTGCTCGGGCATGAATTATGCATGAGGGCAAAGAAATGGAGATGGAGATGGAGTTGCGAGTTTGGAGTACCATGCGTTTGAGCCGGCGGCCAACTGGTCATACATCTTGCCAACGAGCCGGGTTTCTATAAGCTGACAAACGATGACAGTTGATGGGAAACGGGTGGGTGCTGCAGAGCCCCCATCCCACCTGGTTTTTACCTGCTCTGATTGGCCGCCTCTCTGCGGCGATGATGATGTGAATAAAACGAGGCAACCATATGAAGTTGTCTTCCCAGCCATCTCAGCCGCAGGTTGAACAAGACAAGACCAAATCTGTCAACGTGTTGAGCGACGCGTTGGCTGTGGCAGCAACTCTTACCCGTTTTGGTCATGGATGTTGGGATCCGTTGGATCTGCTACTGTGCAACAAGATGTGGTGGGCGGTCGCTTCACTTTTATTCATATCTCCTCCGATCCAAGCCGCGTCCATTTTTTTTTTTTGCCTCGTTTTTCGCAGATGTGCAGTGAGCAAAATTATGGAGATAAGACCGGGCGTTGACAGTTGGCTGAAAACGTTTTTAATTAAGTTGAGTGTTGGCAGTTTAATGAGGTGCAGGAAGTGCTGGTTGCGAGATTTTTCAGAGTACTTTATGGATAATGGTGTAAAATGTTGGCTTGGGAAAAGTAATCTAAAATAAGGAAGTAAAAATAAATTTAAATGGTAGCCTAAAAACGTAAAAAATAGCCAAAGCTTGAAGCACATAAATTTTAAAGAGAATATGATTTAAGAAATAATATGGCACCAATAGCTGTTAAAAGTTATGTTTTATTTGTCTCAATAAGAAAGATTTAAAGAATTCGTTTAAAAATAAAAATAAAGTTACCAAGCAACAAACATTTTAAAAAACAATTAAAAAATGCATAATATGAAATAACAGAATATGTAGAGAAACAGACAATCTAAACCGTTCCCAGCCTTGCTTAGGAACTTAAGTACCTAATCTAATCCGAAGCACACTCGACGCTTTAGACCCACTTGAACTGAACCGGCGATAACCCCAAAGTCAAGACTCAAACTGGGCAAAATGCAAGCACATTCACTCCCAGGCTGGCACTCGTTAATATGCAATAAAAATGGACCAATAAATAATTATGAATGAGGTCAGGCATAGTTCAGAGCTAGTAACCAGTGTGCCAGACGGCCATACCCCATAGACAAAAGAGCCCAAAAAAATCCAAAAAATAAAAAATAAAAGCCAGGGAAAAAGAGAAGAGACGTCGACAGCGCCGGCAGTGGCGCCTGGTCCCCAGTCTAAGGTCGTCTCATTTACCAAAAAACGAGAAAAAAAAAGAAAAAACAAACCCCACAAACGACTGTCTGCGTCATCCGGCGGGTTTTGGGGGATCGGGCGGTTTTGGTATCAGGATCGTCGGACTGGCTGCATTTGCATTTAAGCAGAAGAAGCTGCGGCGGCGGCAGCCCATAAGCCTCGAAAATGCAATTGCAGTTTGGGACGAAATAAATGCAGGCACGTTTTAATTGGGAGACAATGGCTCCGAGTCGACGAGCCTGAGACTGCCTGGTGGGTTTCTTTGTGGAGGAGTTGGCATACAAACATTTCTGTGATTGCCTTTTTTAAATTATGGAATCAGAGTAAAATGTCTATGAGAGAGTGCGCCGGCATGCCGGTCCAAAAATGGCCATAGTACTCCCTAGTTGCCCCACGTTGGGCGCCAATTTTCGTGGGAGCCGATGTCGAAGAAACAAGGGACAATCTCAGAACAAAGCTAAATGCGTTACCTCCCTCTGTCTTTGCAGGTTGTCCTGGTCCAGGGTCACTATTTGTCATTCCTGCCGCTCTGCAGTCGCAACGAGCCCGTCTTTTTGGCCACCTGCACTCCGATCGCCATGCCCGAAACCAGGGAGTGTGTTGTTCAAGGTGCCACCAACGTCTTCACCACCATCCACTCGATGGACATGAAAATAGCCCACATCGACAAGAAGTGAGTAGCGGCGATAAATGGAAATTGATAGTTAAGCTTAAGGATAAATGATGTTCATGGTTATTTCATTGCTTTCAGTGGCGAGTTCCACTTGGGCTATGATAAGACCACGCTGCAGGGCACATCCTGGTACAATCTAATCCACAGCGAGAATCTAAGGGAGGCGCAAAATAAGCACAGACTAAGTAAGTGTTTAATTCAATATGTAAAGTAGACGATTCTAAGCATTTAACAACATTTTATTATGAATCTGTCTCTCCACAAATTGTAAAAGCTTTTAAAAGAAATATGACTACTGCCAAAATCAAAAACATATTTAATTTGCCTATAATAAAGCTTAAGTTATTCAAAGCAATTCGAAGCACATCGACTGGGTTTAAACCTTTGTATTGGATGGTTTTTTCCAATGACAGTCAAAAAACACTATATTTAAATTAATCGAACCTAAAACCTGTTAAGACAAAAAGCTCGTTAGTTAGAAAGATACCATTTAAATCAGATTGCTGATTTTCAACAAGTCATATATTTTCGTTAAAGTAATATTTCCTGTAACATTCACAGTTACGCAGTCGGAACAGGATCGAAGTTGTATCCTGCTAGTGCGAATGCAGAGATCTAGTGGAGAATACACGTGGGTTCACGTGGTTCTACAGGTGCGAGATAGTCCCGATTCCACTCAACAACCTGTTATTGTGTGCACTAACCAAGTACTCAAGTAAGTTTATCAAAATGACAAGCCATATAATTATATTTATTGGTAATTAATTATTTTTATAACCTAAATAAATTATGCCTGCCTTACAATAAGTTATACAAGATCATAATATTCCTGGAATTTATACTGTTTTAAAGTATAGTTTTAAATTATTGATTATAAAATGTTATGTAGATGAGTAAAGTGTTTTTCAATAATACATAAGCTATAACACGATCATTGATGTTTTTTTCAGTGACCGCGAGGCCTCGATAATGCTGGCCAACTCCTGGCTGTATCACTACTATACCGTCCAGTCGAAGATCCAGTTTGGAATGCCCCTGGAGAGTGGGATCCGTGTGGCCCCAGGAACCCCTTCCAGTGGCTATTATAGCCCCCATGCGTCTCATCCACCGGCCACTCCAGGTGGCGCCACGCCCAGCTTGGGCATAGCCAGTAATTTCGGGAGTCACCACCATCCGCACCACTCGCACCACCCGCACCACCACCACCATCATCACCATCCGGCGACTGCCTACCATCATCATCCGCATATGGGAACTTATGGTGGCGTCTATCACGCTGAGGCAGCCATCGAACTCAAGGACGATCAGCCGCTGTTCAGTTTTCAGGAGCCCGTGGATTACAGCCAGGTCAATAGCCAGGTGAATCCAGCGAATCAAGCGAGTACCCCAAATCCGCCCGCCTCCAAATCGGCCACGCCCCCGCCACCCAAGAAGCGGGCTCGCAAACTGGAACCACTCTATTTGCACGCCGAACGTTCTCCGGCGGCGGCGATAACTCCGGAACCGGATTGCTATACCATCCACACCCATCCAGCGGCTGCTTATGCCACCTCATCGGTGGTAAGTAGCGATGCCTCGGTCATATATGCCACCATAGTGCCGACGAGACCCAGGTTACCCAATAAAACATTGCCTCCGGATCCCGCGGACTTCATCGAGCAATGGAATCCCAGTCCACCTTGGTCGGAATCAGCGCAAAAGGCTTCGCTGGATAGTTTTGGATCCTCTCATGAGCTGAGTCCTTGCATCACGACCACGCCCCCCACGCCCACAAGTGCCACGCCGCATCAAAGTGGTTTGGGTACCACCCAGACAATAGGACCTGCTTTCAGTTTTGAATGGATGTCGGATCCTCTGGTGCCGGTAACCTATCAACAGTGGCCACCATCCGGTGACCATCATCAGCATCTTTCACAGCACTTGAGCCAGAGTCAGAGCCACCAAAATCCTCTCCAGCAGCAGCAGCATCTCCAACTTGGCCAACAGGCACATCTCCACCAGCAGCACCAGCACTTAGCACTTCATCATGGGAGAACGGAGCAGGAAACGCTGGTGGTGGTGCCACCGATACCCATTTCGATACCGATACCAGCGGTCACGGGCCATGGGGATGCCGGCGAACCGGTTGAGGATAGAGGTTAGTATTTACTCAGTTTTTATTGAAGATTGGCACGATTTCCAGAAAGCTGCGGCCAATTGGCACTCGGTCGCTAAGTAATTAAGGCCGCCAAAACAAAGCCGAAAACTAGTAAAAACCATCTTAATTATTGATAAGCTATAGGCTTCCGCCAGGCACATGCCACGCTTATGCTAATGCCCCTCTCCGCCCTTCCTATCATATATATTTCAGATCCCAAAAACTAGTGACCAGCAAAGCTTGGAACTACCCCAGACATCTGAGATCGGCGATCGGGGATCGGAGATGGGAAATCTGCCATGGCGGCCAGGTGATAATCACACTTAAATTAATTGCCACTTGTCATCTTAGCGTTTAAATTATTTTTATCTTACAAAGAAAACAAAAACGTAAAACGCTATAACAGCTAATTTAAGTGATTTCCATAAAGCCCTTTTGTTTTCCAATTTTCCCATTTTGTATGTGCAATCTTGAAAAAAACACTTAAAAATAAGTATGAGACTATGCATGAAAATAGCGCTTGGAAATTAGTTTTGCGATTGGTGCGAAAAAATATATTGAACAGAAGCAAAAATATCCAAGCCAAGCCAAGAGAGCTCTATTAGTTGTATCGTTTTTATTAGCGACATTTTTATGGCGCGCGCTTAAAGTTTTTACGATTATTCGTATTTCTGTATCTTACATGCGTATCTCCGCAATTATATATATGCATCTACATAGAGTATTTAGGCTAATTATTTTATTTTATTTATTAAACGTTTATTTATACACATATTTATTACTATGCTTTCGTATTTTGCTTATTGAATAAACAAACTTGTAAAGTATTTTCGTTTGATGGAAATTTCAGAAGTTGTTTCTTTGAGTGGGATGAGAATGGATTGTAGAATATTATTGAATATATTATGATGTTTTGAAGGGGACTGCAAGCTTCCACAGCATTCTTTTAGGTTTAATGGGCAATTATATAAATGTTATTGGCAATTAAGTCTCAAAGTCTATAATAATTCCGATTAAGCCGTAAATGTTTAGAAAGTCTGCGTTTTATTTAAGTGAGCAATTTAACAATCTGTAAATTAATTATTGTTTAGTTTAAAATCCAACACAATCACTTATTTTTATGTCCTGCACTAAAAATACTAAAAGGTAATTTTAAATTTAAAAAAAAATGCAATTCTTGTCAATATGAGTGGCTTAACTATTTTTTTTTACGAAAATGCTAAATTCGTTAGGGTGCCAATATGAACCCATTAAGCTTTTAATGACCTAATTTCCAACACATGTCGCAAACAAAGCAAAAATCTCTGAAATGTTGCTTTTGATCACTGATTATAAGACGATTACCATAATGGGGAAAAACGCGATGGGAAAATGTCATGATTTTCCTGGGTTTTCCATTAATGCCTTGCACTCTGAACCACCGGCCGAATTCGAATCATTCGCTTTCGCCCAGAAACTAACCAACCAAAAACCGACAAAAAAAAAAAAGAAAAGAAAAACACACACCAAATTCAAGCCCGATAGCCACTCCCCACACCAATGCCCCAAGTTTGGGTAGCATTCATAGACATTTTCAATTTCAAAGTACTCGTACTGGGGGCACCACTTCATGGTGACGACGAACCGCCGATGAAACCGATGAAACCCCGATGAAACCTCGATGGAACCTCGGCGACGACGCAGAACAGACGCCAGACAGTTGGATTTCACACACAGGCCCACTCGAGAGTTGGTCGATGAGGAGGCTGGCTCCTTTTTTCGGCTGCTGCTGCTGTTGCCGAGATCTTTTGGTGATATCCAACAAATATTGTAAGTAGAATGGCCAACAAAATAACCAAAAAAAAAAGCAACGCAAACAAAAAGGCGAGAGAGGAGAGAAAAAACTAAACGGAACGCTGACGATGTAGACGCCGCAGCTGGCGCGATTGAATGACTCCTCGTCGTCGTCCGTTGTCGGTTGTCTGAGATACTGACTGGCTATGTGACTGGCGAGCTGGATCTGGAAAAAGGCACTCGCAAAAATAGGCACCCAAATCGTACTTTTACAAGGGATTTTTTTATTAATAATCAACTTTAAAGTTTTTAAATAGACTTTTTATGTTACCCATCAAAATTAGTTCAATTTATACTAACTTCGAGACTAATGGAGTAATGGAATTCGACGTAATCTTTAAATACAAAATAATTTAAAAATATAACAATTTTTTATAATAATAATTAAAATATCCTCTGTCGTATTCAAACTATTTAGTATTTCTATGTTTTTTTTTTGCATTTTATAAAGCAAACAAAAATGAACTGTATTCTATTTAGTAATATATCTAACGTTTAAACTTTCTCATAAAATAAAAATGCATTGAAAAAACTAATAATAAAACACTTTTTTTTTCGTGTGGGTCTGAAGCTGCAGATGGAGACCTGGGACTGGACGAGGACGACACACTTACAGGCGACGACGTCGGCCAACAGCAGCATTCTCAGAAATATTGGTGTAGGTCACAGTCGCAGATAACATATAGTACTGGGCGGGAGGAGGGACTGGGCGGGGGCTGTGTGTGCCGCAGTCCTGGCCTCATTGTATGCAAATGTGCCACGATCACCACCCGCCCAGGCCGATTCGATGAGCCTCCCGTCCGATTCTCCCCAAATCCATCGGCCACTACTGCTCTTCATGGGTGCCAGAATCGTTTTGTGTGCAAGTTACTCGAATTCGCGTTTTCTGTATTTCTGTTTAGCCTGTTTTTTTTTACGATTTTTTTGAGTTGTGCGATTTTTGGCATTTTTGCATTTCCTTTGTCCTAGCCAGAGATGCTTATGTAAGCGACAACGGCCGAGACGACGACTCCTGGCTGAAGCTGCAGGAGCAGCACGAGGATTGTTACATATTTCCCCTTAGCCTTTAATATTAGCCAAATCACATAAAATCAGAGTGCTGATGGCATTAAATCCAGCAAATGCGGTATACTCTTTCAAAAACCTTTCATAATTCAAAATATTTTTAAAACATGTTTAAGTGAGCGCTAAACACATAACACTCATTATGGCCAGTATATTGTTTGTTTCTTTGATGATTTAAAAAGGAATATTCACGCAATGATTTGTTTTAATAAAAGAGAGCTAGAAATATTTTAAATTAAAAGCAAAACTTAAAAAAAATGTACACACATATTTTAGTTTTTCGAGTTCTGGAAGGTAAACTTAAATTTTAGAAGCTTAACATTTTATAAGATTAAATGATAAAAAAATCAAAGTAATTGGCCCAGTTCTTTGAACTATGTATGTTCATATGTTTCCTTTTAAAATTGGAGAACAATTTTTTTTGAATGTTTAAATAAATATTAAAAACTTTTTGAACTTAAAAAGGGGAGACAACAAATACTACAAAATAAATAGTGTTGTAACCCATAAGATAATTACAAATTTTGTATTTAAAGATCGTTCTTCTCACATAAAATTTAAAATATATTTATAAATATTTTTTAAATGATTCGACTTTTCTTTGAATAACGAACAGACTCAAATAGAAAGTGTATTTAAAAAGGTAAACAACGCAAAGAAATTTATAAATAAACGTCGACGACAATGGGAATGCTGGGCACACAAAACCAAACATTTCAACAGGAACAACATGTAATTTTTGTACCGTCCGACCTCCTCCTGCCCCCAAATCCTCCCACAATCCTGGCCATATGCAATGCCTTGGCCGGGGTCACGACACTTTTTGTGGCAGCAGCAGCAGCAGTCGCAGCAGCAACATAAACAGTCGCAGGAGCGGACAGACCGAGTCAAATAGTGGGAGAAGTATGGCAAAAAGTCCCTCCCGAAGGCCCCAGGCTTTCGGCTTATTGTCTTGGCCAAAACAGTTGGCCCGGCTGGATAGCTTGGACATTTCGCAGACCTAAAACTGAACCCGAACCCGAACCCAAACCCAAACCGAAAACCCGAGGCGACTGCCTGGCGTCAAGAGAATGCGTCGAGCTTGTTGCCTTTTGGCTTTGATTTCGCATTGTGGAACTTTTCCTAGGAAAAAAATGTTACATGAAATTAATAAATAGGCAAATAAATGTTAAACAGCTGCTGTTTTGTACGTGTTCTGTTGCACGCGCACGGTAGCCATTGTGCTGCACACAGGGTGGTGCCCACAGAGTGGTGCTTTTTGCGGTGGTGCGGCTTGCTGCTTGCTGCTCGCTGCTCGCTGCTGATTCTGGTGGCGATGATGTTGCCCCAGGCATTTGCATAACACCACGCCAAGCCAAAGGATACCCGAGGCCCCTTTTCTATGGGTCTTTCCCAGGCCCTAACCATTTACTTCCTGCAACTCGCAACCACCTACTAAGCAGGGGCTTTCGCTCTGCCACTGCATGCCAAATCATTTTTATGCAGTTCACAGCAATTGCCATCGGAACTAATGCCCCAGCTCTTAAAAGCCAAATATATTCCGCTCCGCCCTCACCAAGAGCTGAGTAGATGGTTGAGTATCGTAACAAAAGAAAACCAACAGCAAACGAAGAGAGTTAACCATTAGGATGTCCTACAAGAGAAGTGACTGGCCATATGGGTGTACACAACATAATAAATGCCAAATGAATTCACAGACAAACTTTTTAAATTGTTTTTCCCCTAAAATTTTTTTTGTATTTTTTTATTTGAATATTTTTAGAAAATCTTATATATAAATGAATTTGAGGTCCACCTCGTTAAGGTTCATTAACTCTATAACTTAGATTATTTAACTAAATAAAAGTGATAATACGATTTCAACAAAAACAGGTTTCTAAAAAAGTGGGCATAATAAATGAATTCCCAACTAAATAAATAAAGCTATGTTAAAATAAATAAATATAATTTCTTTTAATTGTTATATTTAATTCGCAACGACTAAAAACCAAACATAAAATTTTCCATCTCAACAAAACTATTTTTTCTTTGAAGAATGTAACCGCACCTTTGTTTTCTAATGATGTTACAATCCAATTGGGACTTAAGCCTCCAACACACACACATCTTCCATAGTTTGAATTTAAAATGTTAAGAGGCGGCTTTTGGTGCTATATTAATATGTAAGCCGCACCAGAGCCGAACAGCAAACATAATAATTCGTCTATAATTTATACACAATTGTGGGTAAAATGTGTACAAGCATAATTTACACATAAACAAGGCAGAAATCCAGGAAACAACGGCTAACACACACACACATATATAAATGCATTTTAACAAGGCTTAGAAGGGGAAAAAGAAGAAGCAGCAGCGGGAAAACCAGCTGGAAAAGAAGAAGACCAGGTGACTGAGAAATTGATCAACGTTGTGGCGGGACATAAACTAAAAGCTTATTTAACATTAATTTCGCCACGAAAATCACAGAGCAATTTTAAACATCAGTTACATGGGTATGTTGGGAGTTCGGGGGATTTTGGTTTTCCCGGGGGGATTCAACGATCCGTTGGAAGCAGCAGCCAACATGCGAAGATCCAGGCTTCTCCCTCCCCCGCACACCTGACCATCGAAGTCCCGTGTAATCTAAGCTGCCATTAAACAAAATACAAGAAAAAACTTACGAAAACATATGCTACATATTACCTCTGCGGGATGGTGAGGTGCTCGGGGATGGGGCGAGGTGACGGAAGTAAAGAAGTGAGCTGCACTATGGGTTAGAATCACTTTTACAGGACCACAAATAAGGAGAATATTGGAATAGAAATACAAAGATATATTCAAATTGAATGAATTGAATAAATTGTTAAAAATTGTTTAAAAGAAA